ACCACAGAGCAGTATCCAATGGGAGCAGGAGATCACAAGCTCGGGAACAAAAGGGACCGCCTCCTTTCACACTGCAAACACGTCGAAACACAAGCCTGAAATATTTAACTTGGCGTCAGAGGACCGGCAAACTCTTGTGTTCTTCTGTTGTTTTTTTTCTCTCCGGAATGGTGATGTTTTCCAGTTTTTGATGTCCTGCTTTCCCAGTTCCAGGCTCCTCAGCCCATGTCAGGTGTGTGGTGAGGTACAGGGGACTCATAGCCAAGGAGGTCGGAAGGCAAGAAACTCTGGCCTTGGGTGAAGACCTTAAGGATAGTGGTGGAGGGGAACTCAACGTACCCAACGCCCAAGAAGCACACCTCAAACTCGTTGTGTCCTTAGTCACTTCTGCCCTGCGTCATGCCGTCACAAATGGCTCCTTCATCTCAGCAGAGGGCTAAACAAACACACCAGCAAAGCAAAAATATCACTGCCGCCAACCACAACACACATGCTCGAATACGGTCACTTTGTCCTTATTGCGCGGACACAAGCCAGCCAAGCTGCTGAGTAGGTAGCCTCGTAACCTGCAGACTGGTGACCCTCGTTGTTTTAGCCTCGAACAAATGCACTTAACACCAGTTTCTCTGCCGCAAACATGGTTCAAGCTTCTGAGGTTGCGTGGGGATCTAACCTCATAAAAAACACAAGTGTAAATACTGATAAACATGGTCAGGGCCCAGTCGACAACCTGAGCTTGACTAGTAATTCTGCAACTCTCCGTAATGTGTATGACTCGCAGCATTAGTGCCATCTGGGACATGTATGACAAACAAGGGTGAGGCTGGCAAAAGCAGATAACATTAAATGTTATGGCTTTCGGTAAAAAGGTATTTGCTTCGTCGCAAAAAAACAAAATGGCTCAGAGTTTCAGCCATAAAATGGGGTGGATGTGTAAAACCTTGACTGCAGATGTACAGAAAGAGCTTTGTCGCTTTGAACAGGGCAGATACGTCCTGCTCAAACACATATTTCCAGGTGATGAAAGACGGACCTTGACTTCAATGGGCTATCACAGTTTCAGGGCTGACATTTTATAAATCATCCTGCAGATGAATAATCTCATTTGGGGGTGGGGGGGGGGACATCACACATATTCAGAGACACTCAAGGACACTGACTCTTTCAAGACACATCGTTGCTCTGTCCTTCATTATGATGACACTCTGGGGCTGTAGTGGCAGCCATGCAAATAGCCCGATCAAACAGGCCCATCTGGTAAGCCATATGCAGTAAACAATATGCAGTGTTTTCCTTTGTCTTCACAACTCAAGTGGGGTTGCGACTCAGAACTAGGAACCCAAGGTGGGGCTGTCAGGTATCTGATGTGTTAGAATTTGGGGGGTGTAATTAAATCTTATACGTGGCACAGGGATTATCATTGCAATGGAAAACCCCCACCACCACTGTAGGAAATGGATAACACAATAACCAATATACTTAAACTGCGAGCAACTCTTTAATCAATCATTCTATTTGCAACCCCCAACCAAATATTTAATATGGCTTCTACTTTTGGGAATAAACTAATGGCAATTCTTAAGAAAAACTAAAGCTTTGACCCATTGATTCCAACCAATGAAAAAGATTTAAATAAAGCAAGGGAGTAGTGTATTTAGAAACGTATATTTTCAACCCCTCTTAGAAACAAAAACCTTATGAAAGAACTCGTGTTACCCGTTTAAATTAAGCAAGTGAAATTTATCGCGGGGTCAAAACATTTAATGAGCCTAGTTCATATATGTGCGTGTACTGCCATCTGCTGAGGAAAAGTGTGCATAGCAATAAGAGAATAGGTCTAAGCCAGCGATGGCCAATCTTATCCGCAAAGGGCCGCTGTGTATGCGGGTTTTCGCTGCAACTCCCCAATTAGATTAGTAATTAGAGGACTGATTGGCTGAAGAGTCCTCACACCTGGGTTTGAACAGCTGACCTACAGGTTATCCTAAAAACCTGCATACACTCTGGTCCTTTTGTGAATAAGATTGCCCACCCCTGGTCTAAGTCATTGATGATCTTGTTTCTCTATTTTGGTTGCCGTTGAGTTAAATTGTGTTTTGTTAAACACCAGTAAATGTTCTTAGATAATCTGTTTTGTAACGTAAATCCAGAACTATTTTATTGACAGAAAAATGCCGTCAGGTATGTTAATTAAAACGGATAATACTGTGCTTGTAATCACCTTCGATATATTTCGTTGGTCATTAATGTTCTTATAATTATTATTATTATTACTATTATTATAAAGAGTAAATACACTTTTTATACTGATATTGAATGTTTTATACTAAGTAATATTATTTTAAAGTTTAAACACAAAGTTTGTCAATCGATATTTGTAGTGACCCCTTATTACCACTTGGAGGGGACAGCTACACAAAAAACTGATACAGCATAGAATGATTGGTGTTTCACATTTGTTCACGCTGGAGTACAAATGTACCCAGGTAATTTTTTTAATTTAGTGGTTCACAAATATCAGTAGCCCGATTTTATATAATCTAATTATTGTATCGATATGTAGGCTTGTGTTTGCAATGTGCTACTTGCCTTATTTGCATGTTGCTTTGGACAAAAGCGGTGAGACGATTATTGTAGGGGTTGTATTAGCCGGATTTGATTATTGGGGGGGAGGGGGGGAATACAACCCCCATCCCCCCATAATCTACGGCCATGATTATTTCTTGTGATATCAATCAATCAAATTTGCATTGACTTTTAATTACTCCCGGAGAAGCAACAATTAGATCATTTAGATTTTGATTTGAAGTCAATTTATAGACTCCCCCCCCCACACACAACACCCAGAGAAACATATGCATTGACCCGAAAGAAGCGATGAATCCCTTTGAAAGTTCAGTGAATTCCCACCCAGAAAGGGATGCGAGACAATGCACCATCTCTCCAAAGGTTTAATGCTGCAGCGGGAGGGGAGAAGTTGAACAGAAACGGGAAAGTTCATAATTCTTTACAACAACAGTCATTTACAACACTGTTTCCAGGGGAAACTCAGATTAAGCTTATCGGCGCGTGTGCTTCCTTTTTGCATATTGTCAGAGCACCGAAGAACAGCGGGGCTATTAACACCAGCACAAACAAACCGTGTCACCCTTGGTTGTTGTTGTTGTCGTCATCTTCCTGCGCTAACAGTGAGTCAGTAAAGGTTATGCATAGGCAATACCTGACCGCCATGCCCCCGCAACCGCCTACCCACGTCCGGCCACCGTAAGGAGGAGATCGTGCCCTGCGATTAAACACTAATGATAATAAGTAAATAAAGCTGGCAATGAAGCTACTTCAGTTCCGTGTTTTGCTTTTTCATTTGTGTATCTTTTCCTAAAACATTTTTTTAATTTCAATTTTGAGTTGAATGCTGACGTACACCCCATTAGACGTCAATGTAACTAAAACAGTAACATATTTTTATTGCATTTTCAGAGGTTAAAAAAATCTCATTTATAACTCATATTTTCCTTTCATATTTTACTGATCAAATCTTGAAGCCCTGTTTCAATGGTTATCATTCACTGAAAATATTCTAGGCCTATTTAATGCTAGGCGAACATGGGAACAATTAAAATGTTACAGTTACAGACGAATGCAGTATTGTTCCAAGTTTATATTGCAAGTACATACCATATGTTTTTCGTGTTTATGTTTTTGCAGTCGTTTTTACAGTTTAGTGGCTGCATTTTGTGCACTCCGGTAAAGTAGGCATAATATCTCTCTTTATTAATATTTCTGCCCTTTAGTGAACATAAATGTAAATCAAATTCTCTGAACTGCGCAGAAAAACGCTGTAAATGATTATTTGCACAGATTACACACGATTGCATTGTCAAAGAGAACGACACCAAGTCAGAAGAACTGAAACAATATTTTGTATTTTGTTTGGACCTCTCTGTGGATTTTTGTTTCAGGCTTCTGAGGAAGCTATAATCCAGTAGCTCGGTCTCAGGAGAAATGAGTAATGAGATTGCATAATTCGCGATATTTGTAGCCCTAGCTGCAGCCTCAGATAGGAACCAACATCTCCGTTTAAGGGACTGGCCATAGCTCGCAGGTGTTACAACAGCCAGTATTCAGATAGATTTCAAAAGAATTACCCACTTCGTTTGAAATGTATTGAAAATGCATCATTATAGCACTGTTTTTTCGGTTGACACTGTATTTCAAGGGTACTTACCTTAAGGAAAAAAACCCTTCTAAAGGCACAGAAATTGCACACCAGGGAGATTTCACAGTACTTTCAGTGCTGTAGGGTAAATGGAAGTCGGCTGCACCCTTTGTAGGAAACATCAGAATATTTCGTTTCCGTATTAATGTTGAAAAAAAAATCATTTATCAAAAGCAAAGGTGAGGAAAACCGTCGGACGTTGGCAATACTCGTTTAATTAATGCTTTGTGTGATTATTCGGACATTGTCTTGTAAGGCTCTGTAGTCCGTGATGGATGCTAAGCCGGTGTCCGCCGTGATTACTTCGTGTAAACTTGTCACATGCCTATAGACATTGTGGGATCGCTGTCACCGGGTATTGGACGAAAACAGTGACACACCGCGCAGGTTGTCAAGGTCACTTTGAAAGCAGGTGCAGCTGCGCCGGAGCCTCGACCAGCGGCTGCTGTCTCACATCCGGCACCCACGGTACGGTGGACTAACCGCGGGCGCTGTTTCCTCTTTCCGATTCGCGTGCGTAAGTGTTCCGGGGGGTCATCGGAACAGTAATGCCGACCGCAGACACGGGAAAACAGCCCCGGCTTTCCGGCGCCAGTCCGTGTGCGTTATAACATGCAAATCGTCGCAGTACTGAGCTGATGCGCTGATGTCTGCGAAAACAGACTGCATAACCTCAGTCTTCACGTACCCTTTTGAAACAATTTGATGTCCCCCAATTAATGCTGTTAAGTACAACCTCAGTGCGCGGACGTTCATCTATTAAAAAAAAATCCAATCTCATTCATTTGCGTTTTTAGAAGCTTTTATTTCGGCATTTCTCGGTAACATGCACAATAGCAACGAAGGCTGGGCTGGTCTCGAGTCATTTCAGGAATGCTCGACGGTTATTACTTGTTAACAGCTCATCTCACTGGATGTACACAGAACAGCTAAGATTAGAACGGGCTTATATTTAAAAAGGGTCTAGCATTTGCTTAGCAATTACTTAATGTTTCCACTGGAAAGACATTGACCACAAACAACTGATTAATCAGAACAAGTCTGTTTTTTTTGGGGGGGGGGGGGTGCATTATTAGTAATATGCAACACAGGTATAAGAAAAGGAAAAAAGCCGGGCTTAATTTTCATGCCAATTTTTTCCTATAACCTAGCATGATCACATTATCATTGATTGTCATTGCCTTGTTATAATAAAGGTCTGTCAACACAGGGCTACAGCGACTATGTCAATCAATGCTATGAAAAATCACGTTTGTTATCGGCTGATTTTTTTGTAGGTGAATTAAACCCACAAAAAACATATGTCACTTCTAATGTCCAGAAATAAACATAGGTGAGTGTCCCAGGATATCTTCGGGGGGGGGGGGGGGGGGGGCACTGTTCCAGCATTTTAAAGAAAATGTGCCCTGTTAACAGCAGCAGACATTTCAGGTACTGAAAGTAAAAATCCAGACCAAGATTTTGTTTCAACCACACAGTTGAGTACTCTGTGACCGTGACTCTTTATAAACATCTGGTTGGTTGAAGCAGAATCCTGGTTTGGATTTTTACTTTCTGGATTTGAAATGTCCACCTTTGCCTGTTAAAAGCAAGCTCCTGTAAGCCACGTCACTATGCTTCATCAGTCTGGAGTGAAATCCACCATGGATTCCTAAGCCTTTCCAGTATGACGTTCAGGACTGGCTGTACGTCTGTCCCTGCCTTGGGCACCACATGCGCTGGACCTGCTGGCTGCACATTGGGTGACTCACGCGCTGCCCCCCATGCATGAGCTGGGGTGGGGCAAGGCGGGGCAAACTCCAAGGAGAAGCTTTTGGCCCAATTTTGCCAATCCCCGATCTCTTCTCAAGCAAATCCAAGGCCCCCTCCCCAACTCTCATCTGTAATCAGAGCCTGGGGGGCCTTGGACAATGTTGTAGTATCCAGCCAGGGATCCCAGGTCAATGTAGAGGGACCCCGTCTTCCTGAAGGCTGCAGAGTCCTCGTGGCTGTAGAGGATGGAGTCTGCAAGGACAGAGAAGCGTCTGAGAAATGGGGACTCAAACCCACAGGTGGTCCAAACCCCAAGGTGGCGAGCAAAGGACGGCATCAGGGGCTTACAAAGGGGCCGAGGAACCATGAGAAACTGACCTACCCCCCCCCCCCCACCCTGCCCTGGAGCAGAGCTACAGGGGCATTGAACAGAATGACACAGGAAGACGTCTAAGAGGCCACTTTAGCCACCTGATCATCACGCCTTGTTTACCACTAACTTAACAAGGGGGGACTTTGGCTATATCACCAGGTTGATCAACATAATCATTCCTGTTGACAACACTTCCAGGGGAAACTCAGTGGATATATAACCCCGGAAGGCCCCTATTCTACACTGTACACTGGCCTGATTAGGGATTTATGCAATGTAGGCAAACATGCTTACTTGCACATGTGTCAAGCCTTTTTCCCACTCTGGTACTGGAAGCTCGCTGTGTGTGCAGGTTTTCACACCCTGCAGTGAGCATTCCACACACACTTGTGTTCGAACCTAGGGGCCCCTACCCTGCAGCGTGTCCGGCAGCTGGCTGAGCTGCCTCAGCAGGCCATGGGAGACGTCCACCATCCCCGAGTCGAGGCTCCAGCAGCGCGGCTGATCCTCACGGGGTGGATTCATCGCCTCATCCCGCATCAGCTCCGCCGCCGAGCTCCGCTGCTGGGGGCTCCGTGCCAGCGACCGCTCCAGGAAGGTGCGCATGGCTGGGCTGCAATCCTCTGCAATGTCCTCCAGCGGGGGAGCCTGCTTATGGATCTGAGGAAGGGCAGGTGGGCAACAGCGCCACACACAGGTTAGGGGTGGTATTACAGCACAGGAGAAAACTAGGAATCTAACATCAAACACGCACGTCTTAAAACACTGACGAGAATTAGTAATGGAAGATTAAAGTCAGACTTAAGGGCAAATACATTCCCAGAGACCAGCAGGGTTTGTTTTCAGGTATAAATCAGAAACTAACTGACAAGGACCACGTGAAAACCTGCAGGATGGCCTAAGACCATTGTTAACAGAATGACAAGTTCCCCTTCCGTGCTGAAAGAGAGAGGAACATATTTAAAAAGGGCCTGGTCAACGTGAAACTGTTGCACGGAGGCACTTCCTACTTCAGCACCCTGTCATTTCACAACACCAAGTTATTTGGACTGTTTGAAAAGGAGAACATGTGACCTATAAGACTTTCCATGATTCTCAGCAATCTTACATCGCAAGCACTGATCAAGGGCTAGGGTCCATTGTGGCTTCACAATCAACAAATTATTTTACTACACAATGTACAGATTATGTAACCCCTTATTTACATAACAGGCTAGCAAATACCCAGCTTTAATAAGACTTTATTTCATTAGTTAAAGTTAGAGTAATTGAGGAGCAGGACTTTTCACCAGATGGTGGTATGTTCAGATCCCTCAAGTAGTCGAACATGGTGGCTCACTCAAGGGTACAGCAGCATCTGTTCTTAATATTTATATAATGATATAGTACTTGTGACCCAGAGAGACTTCTAAAGGCTCAGAGAACACCTACTATGTAGAGGTAGGAGGGGTAAGCAGAGGGGGGGTATCTCCTAACCCAGGGGGGGAATCCGGTCTGCATGTGGATGATGCTGGTACCCAGGCTGTAGATGTCGGCTTTGGTGTCATGACCCCTGCAGAGCACCACCTCAGGACTCATGTAAATCTGCACAACACAGCACCAAGAATGTCTTTACCCACAATGCAATGCTGGAAATAATTTTTTTTTGGCACTATGGTAAATGTTTTTTATTTTATTTATTTATAGGGCGCTTTTGTCCAAAACAATGTATTGTTTGCAACGAAATGCAAGCCAGATGTGGCCAGATATTGAACAGGCTCACCCCCCGGACACTTCCTGAACTAGTTTGCAAGTCCCTTCATCAGGTAATCAGGCCTTCTGACATGTACTTCACAGGGTGGAGAGATACAGTGTAGCAGAAGAAAGAGAGGAGGACCATAGTGTTAAATGAGTGTGCTGGAAAACCCCTCATCTTCCTGAATATAGTAGCTAAAGCATTTATATCAAAGGAAAAATTTTAAAGACTCTGTCCATATAACTGCAGATCTCAAACTGGGTGAAGGTTCAAATGGAAGATTAAAGTCTCTGCAGGGAACTTGTGCCATGCTAGCCAAAATGTCATCTGCCAGACAACACGTTCTCTGCAAAGGCTGGGAATTTCCCTGTTATCGTTTCCCCAGGCCGGAGGGGGGGGGGGGTCATCTTAGAAAGCAGCCAGTGTTGGGCATGGGGGCGGGGCACCTAGGACAGGTTTCTTACCCCAGCAAACCACTTTCCTGCTGGGAACTAACCAGAGAAGTTTACAAATTATGAAAGCGGCTCAGAAGTTCATCTGATAGGTGGCTCTTTTGCAGATGGAAAGTCCAGCACAGCCCCTTCCCAAAACCCTAAGGTCAGGTCCTGAACAAAACCTAAACTAAAATACCAAGTAACGGAACCACAAACCAGACTAATGAACCTCTGCATACACAGCTCTGTGTTTTTAGCATTGCTTGCCCTTACCTCCGTGCCACGCATGTCTTGGGGTGTGTACACCTCCTCCGTCATCTGCACAGCAAGCCCAAAGTCCACCAGAACAGCCTTGGTTGACATAAGGACGATGTTACTGGCTGTTGAGCAAAAAGACATAGGATTAACCCAACAAAACGGAGACTGCATTTGATGGCCTCCCTGAACGCTGTGGCTACTGCTGAAACCCAAGGCTTGCATAACCCTGGGAAGCTTTAGTTTCCCCAGACTAATACTAATACTAAGACAGCATTTCTTAGAGACAGCTGGCACTGTACTTTGACCCTTGATTCTACAGTATTTCCTGTAAACGCTTCTCTTGGTTGACAAATGATGCTGAATTGCTGCTTTTCACTTATGTATCTTCCATCCAAATCATCGACGTACTGCATATTCTCAGCAGTAAACAGAGTTTTGCTAATCACCTTTTCCCTGCTGGTAACTAGGGAAACACTAAAAAAAAAGCCAATATGCACACTGAAGCACCCAGTAACTCCCTCACAGACCCTCAAAAGGCCCCAGAAACTCACGCTTAATGTCGTGGTGTATGATGTCCTTGGAGTGCAGGTATTCCAGCCCCCGGAGCACCTGTTTGGTCACCCAGATGATTTCGAAGTCCCTCATGGGTCCACAGCTCTCCAGCTTCTCCATAACAGAGCCGCCCTCGCCGGCCTCCATGAACAGGTACACGGTCTGCTGCCACAGCAGGGCGCCATAGAGCTCAGCAATGTTCTCGTGTCGAAACATGGCCTGGATCTCCACGTCAGCCGGCTTGAAGTGCTCCAGCGGGATCTTGAGAACAGAGGTGACAAACATTACAAAGGGCGAAACATCAAATATATGAATTTCTCTATTGAAAAACTACAATGCGCACATTCTTATACTTGTGCAATGGGGCCAAGTCTGAGAGAAGGGGAAATGATCTGCTCTTTGTTTGGAAACTACCAGTTTTCCTTCATATTTTGAGAAAACAAGGGTGTGCAGAAGCTTGTGCTTCTTAATAAAACACATCCACGTGATCATGTGACGTCCACACGGCGAAATCATAGCTATTTCCGGGAAATCCCCTTCTATCCTGACCCTATCTGCCCCACACGTTCCACCGTTATATTTAGGAACTACTTCGAAAGTCCCAGATCTTTAAGCCACAGCGGGGCACTCTGACGCCCCAGCTGCCCCCATTCGCGCGGGTCGATTTCTTTTCTCCCGTTCCTCATAGCCGTCGTAGGGAGTTTCTGTCCCGGTTTCTGACTGCTTAGCCAAAGTAGGGTATCTCCTGCCAGGATTTCTGAAGTGCGACAAACCCCGGTTTCGGTTCTTTCCGCGCGATATTCCCCTATTTACTTATTTTCGGTGCTCTTTTTCCTCTGCTACCATCATATTTACTTTTTTCACCCCAATGTGGCGAAGCAGAAAGGCGGCTCGATCCGGAAATATACACAGCGATTGGACGAGCCAGGAGTGTAAGAAATCCATCTGGCACGTACTGTAGGATTCCCAGAACTACTAACCAGCTTGCAAGCCATTCGCTTCCTGGTCTCCCCGTCTTGAGCCAAATGGACAGCCCCGAAAGATCCCTTAGGAACGTGTCCGGAGCTGTAGCTCCTGTAGGTCAGCTTCCACGGAAACAAGAAAACTTCCAGGCCGGTGCGATAGTGGCCGTCCAGAATCGCCATGTCAGTCTGCTCAGGGCACAGAAAGAACGAGAATTAAGCGTCACATCAACACAGCAGGGTAATCGCAGATGTGTGCAGACACCTGCAGCCACCCGGTACGGTGCCTAATGAACCCTGAAGGCACATCACTTCTCAAAACACAGCCACGGTTCTGCCTAGCCTCCGATCTCGGAAAAGAATGCAAATCTAAGAAGGATTCAAACTCCGAAGAAATCATGCGTGGAATCAGATGTTAACAAAGGATCGCGGCATTTTTAAAGCATCTGGTTATTCTTGGCGATGCATTTCAAAATATGTTGATGGGAGGCTTTCAGTAATTATTATCAATAATTAACTTTTGAGTTAAAGGAAAAAGTGTTTTAAAGGTTTACAATATTAGCAACTGTGCAAACGGGACATATTTGAACTAGTTTCACTCCCAGAACCACAATTCTTACACTGCGCGTCACATATCAGGTTTCAATAACAGTCGCATTCTGGAGCAATGATTCCCATGCACAAAATGCGACCTGACATCGAAAGGGCCAGAGCTGAATTGCTCTGGAATTGACCCACCTTGTTCAGCAACACGCCCATCTCTTCCGAGAGTCCCGTGTCAATCTGGGAGCTGCAGATCTCGTTCACAAAGGACAGCAGTTCAGTCACCGGCCCATATCTGACCCTGCCAAGAGCCCGATTCCCACAAGATGAGTCTTCAGTGTTCCTTGAGTCGGTGTTCTCCTCGTCCTCCATCTCATAACGCGACGAAGACTCTCTGGACGACGCTCCACTCTCAATGGAAGGGAACAGTGTTTCTGCGGCGTTGATGATGTCCTCGATATTCATGTGAGCCAGGAGCATTTCGATCTGGTCGCTCTGACAATCCATGATGACGGCCTCTTCAAGCCCACCTGAGATGGGACATCGTTCACACAACAACATCACTATGGGAATCACAGAAACCTGTGTGTCCCATGTTTCGCTCTTTCTCTGTGGCAGACAGACAAACCTACATAGTGACGTATAGTGACTGAGGAGGAGCGTACATGATAATTAACCTCTTTAGTCAACCGGGAATTTGCATTGCAAATAAGGGAATTTCACGGCCATGAGGGAAGCCCCAAAAACCTAAACCCACGCGTAAGAAAATAAGGTAAAAATATAGGGGTCCCCTTCGATCCGATTTATGTAAAGCTGTTTAACAAAAATGGGTTGGAGTAGCGCTCAAGCCGTTAGTTTCACTTGTGTCTAAATTTCTACTTTCACACCCATATTTCATCACTATTGTAACTGTTAACAGTACATTCTAACAAGCAATTAAGAAAATTGTCACGGAAAGCAAGAGGTTTTTTAAGATAGGAGACGACGAATCGCGCCTGCCGTACCTCACCGATTAGGATCCCCGCTTCCGATGGGACAGCTACCAGCAGCAGTCAGGATCCACCGCTTCGACTCTCTGCCTTACCCAAAGAAAGCTCACTACTGTACAGCTAATCGGGTGGATCGTCCTAAGTCCTAAAGCCCATTTTACATTGCTACTGCAACCGATTTCCTTTACGTTTAATACTATTCTGTGTTACAATATTTCCTCCGTTAAAAAAGTCCCATCTTTTTTCATAACGCATTTTTCGCTTTCTTTGCTGCTGAATAGATCTCAGATACATTTATACGCTGCCCCTTCTCCGTTCTAAATAACGCTCCTTCCCCTGACAGGGAGCCGGAGTTTCGCTGGTCACCTCTCCCGCCCCTTTGTGAACGTGCATGATACCAGCCCCGAAATGACTTTTGTGTTGTTCAGCAGCGCCATGATTCTATTTGTTTATTTAATAATATTTTAGTGAACGTGAATTAAAGGTGCAATTCATTTGTAGAAATCCTCTCCCCAGTTCTGTCTTAGTAACCCAAATAGTTTTTTAAAAATTTTTCATTGTCATTTTCTGTTAATCTTAAATTCTGAAGAAATTTCTGCTTTTAACAGTATTGCTTATATGTTGCCATATGTTAAATAAATACTAATGACAACAAATACTTGGAATGATTTAACCGTGCGATTAAAACACACACACACACACATTTCATATATCCCTATCATTTTGGGGACTCTCCATTTATTCCTATGGGCATAACCCTTACTCAGCCCTAACGTACCTTACCCATAAGTAATCAAACAAAATATAAGACTTTAGGCTATTTTAGTTTTTTAATTGCACGCACGGATTCTTTGTCAAATCGAAATTTATATTGTGGGGTCCTGAATTATGTCTAAGTAGCAAGTTTTACCACATTGTGGGGATATTTGGTTCCCACGATGTGTTAAATGCAAACCAACACCGAAAAAAATGAAAACTTATTCTCAAAAACGGGATAGGCTACTTCTTGGTACATCCCTCTTGCCGTATTTCAGACAAGCTGCGCAGGCGCCAAATTTCTCATGCTCACCATGATGGCGGCCTCCATACATCACTTATGTATAATGAGGCGAGCAGGATTTTTAAAGCACTTTTTTGGGTTTAAATATTGTTCGTCGAAACGAGCTAGCACTAAAAGTGCTGCTGCGAAAAGAGAGTCTTCCATTACGAAAGATCAATATGGTAGGTTAGACCACATAAATGTCTTAATGTAAATGACCTAGCTTTGAACTGCATTTTCAGTCTTTAATTTAATGTTAGTGTGGATGTACAACGTTCACGTTTCCGTTTAAAGCTTCCAATTTCAAATGTGGAAATACGTGGTTACGTTTTCTGAAATGTTACTGTCAAAATTATTCATCTCTTTTTGCCAGTATAATAATAATGATTGTATGCCCTTTCCAGAGTGATTAGCTCAAAATATATTAATGGGGTAGGTAGTTTACTTTTGTCATACTTTAACATCAATCAACAGCAAGTAGGAGTAGCTAAGAAGTTATTTTACGGTGTTTTATTGATGGTATTTCTATTGATGGCATTGTCTATTTCACTGACGCTTCAGTAAAAAGCTTTCTACACGTCTTAATCCATTGATCAAATCTTATTTAACTGATTAATGCATTCTGGTCGAGTAAAAATAAATCCCTTCTATAACTGTACTTGTACTATTATCTGACAAATTGGGCAGATACATTTCTGCTTGTCAAAATTTTGTTTCGTTCTAGAAAATATTGAAAGAAAACCGTTCTATAAACTCTTAGAAGAGAGAAAGGAACAAGCAGAGAGATCCGTTCTTGTGAGCTGCCCCTCGAATACATCAGAGAAACGGTTTTTAAAACACATGTCCAGGCATGGAGATATAAACAACTGCTTTTTCTATGAAAGTTTTGTAAGTATCGACAGGATCACATTACTGAATGTCACGGAAACTGTATAGAGTGTAAAACACATCTCACATTGTCTTTTGGTTTCTGTTTTCTGTGCAGGGAACATACGCGGTGGTGGAGTTTTCCAAACGAGACGGCGTTCTTTCGGTTTTCGAAAGCGCCTCCATACCGAACTTCCCGCACGAAGCGGCTGTGCCTTTCAAATCCAGGCTGCTCTCTTTAAAAACCAATAATTCAGGTGACCTGGCGAGCAGCCAGCCGTCTGTTAAAGTACTCAGTCAGACTGCCATTCCCATCGACGAGCTTGTCAGGAGGCTGTCCAAAAAAGACAGTGTAAGTGTGCGCGTGCGTGCGGAGCGGTTGGACCTGGGGTGGGTCTGTTTATTTGTGCTGCTTTTTCTTTTTTTGCCATTATTAAATCTACATGAGCAACACAGTGGTGCAGTGGTTGGCACTGTTGACTTGTACCTCTTGGACCTCGTTTCAGGTCTCCACCCCGAATCCATGTAGGGTCTGCATGTTCGCGTTTTCCTCCCAGAATAAAAACATGCCAGGATAAATTGGAGTTACCAAATTGTCCATAGATATGAATTGTGTGCATGCCCTGCGATGGGCTATCACCCCATACTGAGATATTCCCTACCTTGTGCCCATAGCTTCCGTGATAGTCTCTGGACCCCTGCGACCCTGAGGAGGGTAAGCAGGTATAGAGGATGGACGGATAGATGGATAGAATTAATATCAAAGGAAACTGCCACAAAATCCTGTAGAATCAGGGTGCTGTTCTTAAAAAAACTTTGTTTGTAAAAGTTGCATCAGTTTAACTAAGATCTGTGTACCATAACTGTCTAAGGAGATTTCCTTCCAGAGTTAAGACTTTCAGCGCAAAGGCAATTCACTGCCCCTGGCTGCAAGGTGGATGGAGTGGAGCCCTCATTGGGCGGACGCTGGGCGGGGGGGCAGCTGTCCCTGTGTCGTCACGCTTCTCCTGTCCTCTCTCCCTCCCATACCAGATAGACCAGCAGCTGCTGCTCCTCACAAACATTCTCCAGCTGACTGACGAAAACATTCGCCTGCGCTTCCTCGTCTGCTCCCTGCTGAGGGACATCGCTGCCTCTTATTTCCCGGAATGTGTGGTGAGGCCCTTCGGCTCCTCTGTCAATGGCTTCGGGAAGCTTGGCTGTGACCTGGACATGTTTTTGGACCTGGATGGCATCAGTGGGATTAGCCAAGAGAAGGTAATGTTCTAACGCTCATTGGGTGTAGCTCAGAAATGGGGGAAAAAGTAGGTCTTTCATGGGAGCATTTTGTACAGTTCCGGTTGACAGCCTTTGCTAGCGTAAAGAAGCAAAGCATGCTGGGAATTGTATTTTAAATGAGCCAAACAGACTTAAGTTATGAGTGTACATCCATAAATACTGCAACACCCACTGTCCTAGTAGCAGCATGTTAAATAATAGTATAACATAATGCAGTCTTATCCCAACCCAGTCCACATTTTTGTTCTCTCCTAGCTCTTGACACACCCATACCAGGTATTCAGAGTTCTTAATTGGCTGGGAGCTGGGTGAAAGAAAGAAATTAGAACATGAGAAATTTACCTATGAGAGGAGGCCATTCAGCCTATTAAGCTTGGGTGTGAGCAGAAGTATTGACTGACTGGAGGTCCCTTGAGGATTGGTTTGCTAAACTCTGACATAATGTACTAATAATAATAATAATAATGATGATAATAATAATAATAATAATGTACTCATGCAGTGGGACGTGGCATCATTTGAGCTGGTCACATGCCCTAAAATGTTAAGCCTTAATAAAAAGTAGCTGTCTATTTCAATTGGAGCTGATTACCTTTTTTTGATAACTGCTTGTGAAAATTTTTCATCAGGATGATGAGTGTTCAGTAAGGGGTAAATGGTTTCCAAGTTGGGAAATTAGGTATTTTTCTTCTCTCTTTGCCTTTTTCTCCAGTATTTTGGGCAGGGATGGTGATGAGCATTTTGTGTATTTAAAGGCAAGATTTTTTGGGAGTCATAGGTTTTCTTTGTATTCAATAGTCTGTGGGGGTTAATTGGTTATACACTATATTGCCAAAAGTATTGGGACACCCCTTGAAATCATTGAATTCAGGTGTTCTGATCCCTTTCATGGCCACAGGTGTATGAAATCAAGCACCTAGGCATGCAGACTGCTTCTACAAACATTTGTGAAAGAATGGGTCGCTCTCAGGAGCTCAGTGAATTCAAGCGTGGTACCATGATAGGATGCCACCTGTGCGATAAGCCCATTCGTGAAGTTTCCTCGCTAGTGGTGGTGTTGTAGCAAAGTGGAAGCAATTAGGAACAACAGCAACTCAGCCACAAAGTGGTAGGACGTGTAAAATCCCAGAGCGGGGACAACGCATGCTGAGGCACAGTGTGCAGAAGTCACCAACTGTCTGCAGAGTCAACAGCTACAGACCTCCAAACTTCATGTGGCCTTCAGAGAACTTCATGGAATGGGTTTCCATGGTCGAGCAGCTGCATCCAAGCCTTACATCACCAAGTGCAATGCAAAGCGTCGGATGCAGTGGTTTAAAGCACACTGCCACTGGACTCTAGAGCAGTGGCGATGTGTTCTCTGGAGTGACGAATCACGCTTCTCTGTCTGGCAATCCGATGAATGAGTCTGGGTTTGGCGGGTAGCCAGGAGAACAGTACCTGCCTTGCTGCATTGTGTATAGTTTAATGGAGGGGGGTTATGGTGTGGGGTTGATTATCAGGTGTTGAGCTTGGCCCCTTCCAGTGAAAGGAACTCTTAATACTGCAGCACTGGAAGCCATTTTGGACAATTTCATGCTCCCAACTTTGTGGGAAGAGTTTGGGGATGGCCCCTTCCTGTTCCAACATGACTGTGCACCAGTGCACAAAGCAAGGTTCATAGGGGCATGGATGAGCAAGTCTGGTGTGGAGGAACTTGACTGACCTGCATAGAGCCCTGACTTCAACCCGATAGAACACCTTTCAGATGAATTAGATCGGAGACTGTGAGCCTGGCCTTCTCAGTGCCTGACCTAACAAATGGTCTCCTGGAATAATGGTCAAAAATTCCCATAAACACACTCCTAAACCTTGTGGACAGGCTTCCCAGAAGAGGTGAAGCTGTTATAGCTGCAAAGGATGGGCCAACACCATATTAAAGCCTGTGTATTAAGAATGGGATGTCATTAAAATTCACGTGTGTGTAAAGGCAGGTGTGTTTATACTTTTGACAATATAGTGTATTTTTAATGACCATGTGCTGCTTTAATATATGGGCATTTTACTTCAGTGTGTCACCATTTTATACGGAGGTACAAGCATGTGATTTACTCTCAGGACAGATTTTCCCTTGCATGGCGATTCCTGCAGCTGGTATTTGACAGTTTTTATTTAAGCATTCAGATCTCACACAGTTCCAGAGAACCCCGTGGGCTAATCCCAGCTAGCCCTGGCTTTGCCGGCCTTCGAGTAACCTCGAGCCTCAAGCCGTCTGGTTGTCCTTATGACATGTAATTTTGCACATCTCCGTGTGGGTCGCTGAGTAAACTACTCGTACCGCGGATGTCGCCTGTAGGGGGTGTCTCGAGAACCAGCCTCACATTCACGTGTGTCGGCCCGCAGACAGGAAGCAGCTACTCCCT